CTGCTAAGAGGCCTCATGCTCCTTTCGGCTCTTTGACCCATGACCTTAACCAAAGCCCACTTCAAAGACTCTGTACACAAGGCCCCAAAGACGGGGAGGAGACCTAAGGCAGTCGGAGAGAAGATAAGCTACAAGACGAAGCAAAAAAAAAAGGGCAAAATTTTAAAAGAATCCACTTTCACTCCTGACTGCATGTTGTTTCATTCAGCTATACACTAATGCAAAATCATTTCATGATTCAGTGAATTACTGATGATCAACAGAAGATGCATAAAAATAAAAAATAAAAACACTTGGAGCTATCAATGAATTTAGTGCCGTTTTGAAAAACATTTCCACACATGCCCACAACATTGTTTGCCAGGGTTTTAAAATAGCATTATTTTATATTGAGAAATAACGGAGTTCCATTTACTTTGGTCAATTCTTGAAAATAACATTTAGTGCCTTCTTACGCAACATTGTGCTATCTGTTAGTACTCAAGAGGGTGTGGGATAAGCTTCTCAGAGTTTCAGTAAAATCTCTCCAGCGGGTAATGAGAAGTTTTGCTAACACAGCACTACAGACAAACACAGCCGCACACACACGGGCAAGTGGTGTGTGATAATAACAGCAGTGTAACATAAAGCATCACAGGTATCACCACAAATCCCAAAGCCCCAATTGTGGAATTCTGAGGTTTGCAGCAAATTAAAAACTTATATAAATAAACTTATTAAAATAAATGGTATTCTAGCTTGCAGCAAAAACATAAAGGATTTACGTTCGCATAATCTTAGAAATGAGAAGTCCAGGAAATTAAGTCAACAAGTATGAAGCGACCTAGATTTTGCATCAGTTTAATTTATCTATATTTGAAGTTCATTTTATAAAATACCTCAATTTTAGCAGCTCGATACGGTTTTTAAATGGGGTTGGTCTGTAGAAATACAGAAAAAGCATTCTACCATTTTATTATGTTACTGTATGCAATAAATATTATTTTCAAAATTGTATTTCTATGATGAACTTTTCCCACTAATAATAGATATTTCAGATGCACAACAACTGGAAAAGCTTCCAACACTGCCACAACAGGCCATTAACAAAACGCCATCTAAGCAGCATGTAGTTTTAACAAGCAGCTACACGTAAAAATATGCAACAGTGTTGAACCAGGACAGACTTACAGCTAAGACGAGTTCCGACTGCAGCTAAAGAAAAATAAAAAATGAAATCCTCCCACAACACAGCTAGTTCCAACAATAATTGAACTGATACTTCTACCTCTTTAGACGTTTTAAAGTGTACTTATTTTTACAAAGAACAATGATATTTATTATATTGATATGTGCTTTAGCTTACATTCTTTTCCAGCTAAATGACCAATATTTCTGTGGAAAAAAAAAATCCACCCGTTTTTATGAATGGCTTCTTTGTCATATTTAAATTTGGAGCAAATATCCATTTTCAGTGCAAAAAAATCTGTGCACACAGCATCGCCTCCAGTGGCTTCCTTATTTATTTTCTTTACAATCCATCCATCATCTTTTACCCGTTTCTTCCTTTTCAGGTCACGGGGGTCACTAGTGCTCATATCCATCAGTCACTGTGCGAGAGGCGGGGGACACCCCTGGACAGGTCACGTGTCCATCACAGTTTCTTTACAATAAGATAATAAATATATAAATAAATAATAAAAGTTTAATTTGAGCTGGTCTAACTATTGTCCATTAGCCTCTTTAGGATATAAACAAAAAGGTTGATTGGTTTCAACGGAGTCTTCTTGTATTTCATTTTTGACTTTTTAAATTCTGTTTAGCTAATGTCATGCCATGCTTCTTGGCTCTTTAACTTTGGAATAGTTAATCTGTATGGCACAGCTGTAAATGTTTTGAAATGGCATGAGAAATGAATGTGACCACACGCCGATTGAAAAGTCGAGCCAAGTCTCACTCAACGTGTTGATGTTTGCAACTCTAAAAGAAAAGTTGGCAGCACCTGCCTGCATTTTCAAAGCACACCTTCATCAGCAAAGAGATTGATCTACCGTACATCAGCTTGACAGCTTTGTTAATTTTCAAACCAAAAAAACAACAATAAATAAATAAAATTAAAATGTAAAAATGGGGAAATTTTAATTCAAAAAACTTTTTTAAAATATGGTGAAGACAGACTAATTCAACTGGCTGAAATTGCCCGCTAAATATCACTGCTTGCTGGACCTATTTTGAATTTATTTGTTACCTTTTGCACTAAAATGCCTATCGACACTTGGAGGGGCAACTTAAAAAGGAGCACTATCACACTACCTGACACATCCTATAATGCCAGTCTGGCAGAACAAAAAAAACTCCTTCCACTCCTGAGAGAAGCTCATCTGGAGGGAATAGGTTAGAGGAAAAATAGGAGATTAGCTGTACTGTATAATGGTAAATAGGCAGCCTCGCACCACTGTAAGCCTGTACACGTGGCAAGCCAGTACGCACACACAAACACACACGCACTTATACAGTAATGGCATGGTTGCAGCACTCAATGATGCAGGAGGCACAACAACAAAGTTTAGAGTTGATTAATACTTCCTGTCAACAACACCGCAAAGACAAGTGGATTATTATGTGTAAGAACTGGTAAAGAGAGTTTATAGTTTTAAAAAGTTGGCTGCATAATAAAAAAATGTTTTTTCATTCATTCATTCAACCTTTATTTAGACAGGTAATCCCATTGAGCCTCGAGGACTCATTTACAAGAGAGACCTGATTTCAACAAAGAAAGACGACAACAATGGACAACAGCAATTTGATCCAATATTGAAGTTTTTTGCCATTTTTATTCATCTTTTAAAACACCCCTTTAAACATTAAAATGTGTGTCTATTTACGTATGAGTTGCGTAACAAAAAGTGGGAGCATAGCAAAGTTGTCAAGCCAAACTGGGTTTGAATTGCGTTTCAAAACGCTCAAACAGCTGAAGGATTGCTCTCATACAGTGCAGGTTGCTAAGCTACAGGATTTATGGAAGGTCTTAGTTACTTTTCTGATATAGTCAGCATTATATATTAACAATATATAAAATGTGGGTTAAGATGTACGACTAAATAAATATACACAACAAATGCTAAATATAATGTCTTCACTTTAAATGATAGTTGGCCCTGCAGTTGTCTGGTATGAAGGTAAACACAAATGTTTGTTTTTATTAAATTTACAGGTCTTGTGACGCTTTCCTAATTAATTAATTGCTTAAAATTAATGCAATGGATTATAATGTAACGACAGCATGTCTACAAAAAAAGAAGTAATCAATTAAGAAAAAAAGATTCAAAGTAATCTATAGATGTTAAACAAACCTATGACTTAAAACAAGTATTTTAATACTTAACGTTTAAGTTGTAGAAAAACGAATTAACCTTTGATCTTCACTGTATAAAGCAGATAAATTTTACCCGCCGCCAAAAAGAGTCTAATGTTGCCCATTTGATTTTTAAATGTTGCTCATGTTGATAGTACATATAACCTGATAAGCTGAGAGCACAGTTGAGAAATAGGAACACAGAACTGGAGCCCAAGTTTGTTTTGCAGTCCTCGGTTAGGTCAGTGTGTTTGTGTCACGTTCTTGTACATAACATTGTTTGTGCTCTTTTGACAGGCATGAAAAGAACATGACATGAAATCGTATCGCACAGTTGCAACAAGGTAAAACAATAAAATCAGGAAGTCAGTGGCACAGTGGTGGTGTGTAGCAGGAACGCTCGCTATAGTCTAGAAAAAAAGATTAAAGAAACTATGGTTTGCATGTACTGACAAAGACAGAGATGAGTAGAACAGGAAAACAGCTGAGCAGAGCATAAAAAGCCTGACAGCAAAAAGCCGACAACTGAAACTCATATTTATCTTTCAGGTGTTTGCAAACCAGACTGAATCAAAGGGCTCAATATATTTTTACCCGATTGTATCCAGCACTTGTCGCGCACACTTTACTCATCCTTTCAACCTGAATTAACACTGATGCTCATTAAAAATAATGAAAATATATATATATTTTAATGTTGCACTTCAGTGCTCATCGAGTTAGCAGAGGATTCTTCCGGGCTAAAGCGTTGCCCACCATACACCTCTCACCGAGACGCACGTGCACGTCTTTCTCACAGCGCTAATTTTCCTTTGCCATAAAACATAACCAGGCTGCATCTTTTAAAATAGCACCCAACGTGTTTAACCAGTGATTCACCTCCAGTTCGAAGACATGTTTACGTAAGAGTTTGTAATTTTTTTTTTTTAAGAAAAAGCACTGTTTGAGCTGCACAATTTTGGAAAAACACCAACTGGGTGGAGTTTTGACACAGTAGGATTGATGAGAAGCTGTGTCAGAACAATTTCACAATTTTTCCACAAAAAATAAAATGCAAGCAGCCACATGCAGAAAAGGCTCCTGTAACTTATTTCATTTAAATATAGCCATAATAATTTGGTGAGAGTGGAAAAACTGCTGATAATTTTGCACTCAACACAACTTCATACCTCTTTCTCCAACATTTTCCTTCCAGCCACTGGCACTAGTTCCTTTTCTCTGTCCTTTAACAATGACTTTATAAAAGAAAGACTCCTAGAATTTATCCATAGCTGTTATGAAATGTGACACCATACAAATCAACTGGAAGAACGTGTGTCCAACTGTGTCTGCCATTTGGTAGTTGATGAGCACAAGAAGCCCTCAAGCTTAGTTGTGTTAAAACATCTCTAACAAAAGAAAGCGACAGACACAAAAGCTGTAAAATGTTTTCCAACACTAAAATTGACTAAATTGAAACTATTAAGTAGTATTAAAAGCAGCTGTGCGTTTAAATCGCTGTGTGAATACTAGGACACCTTTTACGGTGTTCGCTGTCAGCTTTTAGCTGCACTTAAAGTACAGCAAAGCTCTTTAAAGCACATAAATGCAAAGTCAATTGCACGAAGAATGAGAGCAAATACAAAAGCAAACAGAGAGAGAGGGGGAGTAAATCCTCAAGACGCACCTGGAAAAGCCGATGGGAAAATTTGCCAAAGCCGCTGCAGACTGGAGGCCATCGCTGCTGCTCTGTATCCCGGAGGACTCTCCGTATCTTTTCCCCCCTATCCAGCTCTCCCCAACCCCAGGTAGGCTCGAGAACGCAGCAAAAGGCTTCTGGTCTGGCAGGTTCACTGTGGATGGTTGACTGGCTCCGAAGTTGTATGCAGGTCCAGCACCAACACCCATGGGAGATGGCATGGGGCCAACCCCTCCTCCATGGAGAGAACCCATGCCTCCCTGGAGACACTGCGACTGGCAGTAACCAGAACTGTCCTGCCTCTCCAGCTTGACCACACCAGGAGTACTCATATGGATGAAATCGGGGTCCTTCTCTTCTTTGATGACAACACCAGCAAGCATGGATGGAGGCTGTTGGGGCTGATGCGCATGTTGCTGGTGCTGAGCCAGGTGTTGGAGAGGCTGCTGCTGGTGCATCGGATGCTGCTGCTCCATGCCATTCATACTGGTGCAGTTCTCTCCATTACCCATGAGGGGTTTTGTGTCCTTCGGCAAGCCGCTGATGGAAGCGCCACCAAGGCTGCTTTCTTGCAGGATGTTATCCAAATGTGCCACCTCTGAATCCAACTCAAAAACACTGATTTCTGGCAGCGAACTTGAAAGGTCAAGATCTTGCCAAATTTCTGCATCATCAATTAGCTGACTGCTGTTGCCATCCAAATTGCTAGGACCAGCACCTGTTTGTCCACTGTAATTTCCTAAGTCCTTATCCATGGAAAAGACCACTTCCTGCTTGATTTGCTGTGGGAAAAGGTCTGGCAGAGGGAGGTTACCCAGCACAGAGTTTTCTGAGGTGGTGATGATAGACATGGACGACTGGTTGAGATCAGAAATATTCTGGTTCAGCAACGACAAATTGTCTCCAATGTTGAATATATCCTGTTCTTGTTTCTGCATTCTGTTCATTTTACCCTCTTTATCGGTCCCATCGCATGGGACATGAAGTTGAGAAGACTCAAAGATGCCTCCAAAGCTCCTCTGGTCTTTGGTTCCGCCCCGTCCATTTGGGGCCAGCGTACTCTGGGTCAGATTCCCAGGACCGGGCAGATGCATTGTAGACTGATGCCGTAAAGCAGAAGTATCTCTGCCTAATTCAGGTGCTAACTCCCCAAATGTCAGGTTGCTGTTTCGATTACCGTTGTGCTTTGGTCCACCCTGATCCATTTCTTCATTCTGCAAAGAAAATTAACAAGCGTGAACCAAAGTGGCACTTAAGAGAAAAATGTAAAATCCAGAAGAATAATTAATAAGGTTGTAGAAACGTTGGGCAGAAGACAAACACAGAAGGCTCACTGACGCAATGATCATTTACTGCAACAAGTAGCAACATCGGCGACAAAAAGTATCATGGGAGAGTTCAAAAGTACAACCTGCTGCAGTGCCTCTGCTGCTCTCTTATCTACTTGTCTTTATTTTTGAAGAAATAACAACCGAATCAGTTTTGCAGCTCTCCCTCTTTTCAGAGCTGGTACAACATGGCTGAAGCACAAACCATCTTAAAGTTGGACCACAAAATGGGACTACAGGTTCTACGGAACAGAAATGACTAATATGACCGTGTTGGTTCTTCTGAGCTGTAACCTACACTCGGTTTAAGAGTGAAGAAGTGCGAGACAAGCCCAGGCATAACTAGCTGTGCAAGTGAAACTGCTGGCAATCCCTCATACAGTAAGTATGTGTGCAACATGCATCTGTCGAAAGAGATTAACCCACTCCGAGAGGCCTTTGGGTGTTTGCTGCAGGCAACGGTGCGCGCCTACCTCCATTTCAGAGTGGAAAAAACAAACTAAACTGTTCCAGCTCTTAAAGTACGATTCAGAAGCGGGACAAAACATTACTCCACATACGCCTATGTGTTAATAAAAGGGTTTTTTTTTCTCATTCATTCAACCTTTATTTAAACAGATAAATCACATTGAGTCTCAAAGACTCATTTACAAGTGAGACCTGTTTGGACAGAGTTTTAAAGTAATATTTTATTGTTTTCAGCCAAATTACTCCCATTGATTTTTAGTGTTAAGCACTTTGGTAACAGCTGCTGTTTTAAATGTACTTTATAAATAAAAGTTGACTTTACTTGACATGTATTTGCGTTTACTGTATTTTGGCAAGAATATACAGTCATTACAAAAACTAGGGAGTACTTTGGCGTTCCTAAATCGTCTGACTCCTAATAACTCATTAATCCCAGAGGGAAAATAATAATAATAATAATAATAAACAGGACTTTTTAGCACGAGTTGTAGTCATTTTCCACACCCACTCCTCACCTAAGAGACTACATCTGTCTTAAAGTTAAACTAATTCAAATTAAATGAGAACAGCAACAACGAGGGCTATGTGAAGCTTCAAAAAAGAAAAAGTTTTGAAGTTTCCTGACTGTACTTTTCCACCATGACAGACTTAGTGCAACCTGTTGGCCGGAAACAGAAACTGCACCAGTTCGCACGCCTTCAGCGTGACAAGCAGGTATAAACAGTGTTGAAGTTTGTCTCTTGATTAATTAATTATAAACTCCTGACTTTGATAAGTTCACCGAGCGTTGATAAGATTTGTTTGTTTGTTTGTTTGTGCCACTCGGTGACTGGCTGTCAGGTCGCTCGGCCTACTCGACCCAACTACCAGGTTTTACTTCTCATTCTCTCTCTCGCTCGCTTTCTCTGCACCAAGAAGTTGTTTACACCTGGAATTAGTTCCTACCTGCTGAGAGAAAAACATAAACTCCACCGGTTAGGTCATCGCTTGTGAGTCCAGGCAGTTGAGCTGGGGGTGAAAAAAAAAAAAAGCAACAAAAATCTATATGTATGTGGTTAAATCAATATCCACTGAATCAGGCTTGTGAAGGAGCTCCACTTCTTCTCGCCCCGGCGCTGTTGTGCGGTGAAATAGATGAATTCGTTGCGGTGCCTCCCTCCTTCTCGCAGGAAAACATTCTCCGCGATATTCCTAACTTAAAGCTCAACAACGTCGCCGTTGACGCTCGCCAGTTCCACCTTGTGTGTGTGTGTGGGCGCGCGCGCCCTTTCACGGATCCGTCAACTTTTTAATGCACGTCGCCGGAAGGAGAAGAAGAAGAAAATGAAGGGAAAGGGGGCGAAAAAAAAAAAAAAACCAAAACAAAGTGCTCGGTCTGTCAGCGGCTCCTAATCTCTGGTTTAATCCGCGGCGAATCATAAATGTTGCGGCGAAACGACCGCCCTTTGCGCCATTACATCCATGAGTACTTTTAAAGTTATATAAGACGAGCGCGACGCTCTACCCCTCGCAGCCGCAAACTAGTCAGGCAGGGCGAGCGGCTAGCGAAGCCGTGAGAAGCTAATTGAAATGAGAAAATACTTCCGGTTTAGATTTTTCAAAACAAAAGCTTGTTTAAATTAAATTCGTTAGTTTACTGGTAAATATTTAATCTACAGATATGAATCATCTTCATAAAATGTATAATTATAATAATTAGTCGCATATATGCATATATATTTAGTTTAACTTGACGGTTGAAACGCGTTTATTTTATTCTGAAGGTTTGAAATCATGCTACTTTCTTTATTCCGGTTTGTTCGAGAAGCTTCACGTAGCTGTCGTTTTGGCACTCGGTGGTGAACGCCCCTTTTACCCAATGAAACTCCGTCTGTTGCGGAATCTGTCAGTGTCACCTCTAAGCTCTGAGCATAAACTTTCAAGAGATTGTCACTCGTAACGAAAGTTAAATTGGTCAGTAAGCAAACGAAGCGTCTTATTTAGGGGAGTCTATTTAGGTATGAGCTAAGGCGAGGGAGTTACTTGTCCCTTTAGATGAGATCATGCAGTGTAATTTTGTATTTCCTGTTTCCCAATGTTGACTTTTTTCAACAAAATGATACACCCAATAAAAAGCCCAGTCAGAAATGCAGAAATATATATTTTTTATTTGCAATATGAAAAAAAAAATACTTCTCACAATAGTTGTAGATAGATCATGTTGGAACCTGCTCAGCAATTCTTACATATTAATAAACCCTGTTCATGTATTTTCCAAGATTATTTGCCTGCAGCTACTCAGAACCACACTGTGATTAGGAGCCAAACAGCCTACACAGAGTTGTTGCAGAATTAAAAGAGTTATATTTGACAAATAGCTAATAATAAGTTTAACCACATCACTCTCAGACCGATTGAAGTCCAGCACTTTAAGAGCGAGGACGCTCCTTCAAGATTCCAGCAAAGTAAAGTTCAAATTTGTGAGCTCACTTTACTTTTGCAAGAGTAGGGAGTAAGGGGTCAAAGGGCAGGAACTGCCCCTCTGGAAACCTGAAGCCTGAGCCCGATAGCTAATCTTACACACATGGTAAACTCCCTTTATGGGCAGCTGATGGGAATGGTTTCTTAAGTAGGACATCTTCTTTGAAAATAAATAGCTCATTTATTAAAATTAAGGAATAGTAATTTTTTTTCTTAACACTAAGAGGTGAACAATGGAGTCCTGAGGAAAGTGGTTCTAACTGAGATGATTAATTTTAATCAGAGGCTAGGTGATTGAAACTTTTGTGTGCTGTTTTTTTTAAGTATGTAAAAAAAAAAAAAAAGTCCACAAAAAAGCCCCATCAGTAGGCTTAAGAGCTGATTAATTACATTTTTATTTTATTTTAACAGGAGTGCAGGTAAAGGGTGGGGTCGGGAAGGCTCAGACACCCCCACAAAAATGGATGAGCAGGTGTGAACCAACAGCCAGAAAAAGAAAGGTAAAGAGACGGGGATGGGGGTGGGGGCAGCAGGTGTGGTCCTCCATCCAAGTTGTCCTATTAGAAGGAACAGAATGTGTCCTGGGCATGTAAATGTCTTATTAAAAGCCAGTGTGGTTGGATGGAGGCAGAAGCTCCCAAGGGCCTATGAAAACCACACTGTTCTCAAAACATTACAGGGAACACTGTGAGTTTTTTATTGCTCGGTAACAATGGGTGATCCTACTTACCAATAAATAATCAAAACATTGGACATGCCGTGCTCCTTGGCTGGGAGTTAATGGAGAATTATGCTGCCGTGGCTTGGTAAAAATTCAACAGCTTGAGTGAACGTGCTGCTGTGGAGACATCAACTTGTGAATTTTTATTGATCGCACTTGCATAAGACGGTGCAAAGCAAAAAAAAAAGAAAAAGAAAGGTGACTAAGTGTTTTTCATTTTCATAAAACAACAAAAAATTAAAAGCCTGTAGGCTGCAATAGTTTACGGTAATCCAGCTGAGGATCTGAAATACATCTGGAATACAGATGGTATAAGGCACGGGGAAGGGTTTTTGGCATATAAGGTTAAAAATAAGTGTTTTAAATATTAAAATTGATGCATTTTAGAAAAGCAATCTATTTTGTGAAAACAGGGCTTGGCAGACTGAATAAGCTTATTCACAAAGATGATGAAGTATTGCAGTTAAAGTGAATTCTTCAGTGAAGCAGGCTTGACGGGGTTTTGGATTCCAGGGTGACTGTCTTCAACATAAAGGATTCTGAAAAGCTTAGTGTGGTATTTCCACTATTTCCTAATAGACAGCAGGTTTGGTACATTTTTCCAAGCCTGCAAACATTATTGCATTTATTTGTATACTTTTTTTTTTAAATATAAGGAAGCTAACATAAATTATAATAAATTTGCCTCCACTTAAAATAATTTTTAAAAAGTCAGCTTTCCTTAAAGTTTTGCACAGACATTTATACAGCAGATGTTACTCAACACGGTGATCTCAGACAGGAAATTTTGAAAAGGAAGGAAGAATTTTTTTTTTTAAACATAAGACGAGAAAGGAAACAATGTTTATTTAAGGCTAAACAGCCAATGGATTTTCTTATCTTATGCAAGGAGTAACCCTTGGCATGAGGTTAGAATTGACACTGTAAGCAGTTGAATACAGAGCACACACAAGTGTGTACTGTGTGTGATGTGTATGCTGTCCTAACACAACAAAAGCAAAAGAAGACAGTCAGGGTATACAGCATTAACACTTCCACTTAATAAAAAATCAAACTCACACTATTTCACCATTAAACAGAAACTTAAATGTATTAATGCTAAGCTGTTTACACACACACATACATACCCCCCCCCCCCCCCACACACACACACACACACACACACAAACAGATCCAACAAAGTTCAGTCAGGTCATCTGGATGGTTTCTTTTTGTTGGATTTTCTACATGGATTATTGAGCATGAACTTTGATGTTTTGAATACACCCACATTTGTCTTTCTATCTTTACGGGGACTTTGCATTGACTTCCATTCATTTTTCATCCATTTCCATAGCCTAACTCTGACCCTTACCCTAAACCTAACCATTACTAGTACATACCTAATGCTAAATCTAACCCATCCTCACTTCATACTTTAGTCCTAAACCTAACCCCTAACCCAACAACGTCATTTGAATCTTATGCGGACCGGGCTTTGGTCCCCACAAAGAGCTTGGTCCTCACAATGTACCGTATTTTTCACCCTATAAGTCTCAGTTTCTTGCATAATTTGCATGCACTGCAACTTATAGGCCAAAGTGATGTATTTATGTATTTTTCCCCCATATTTATAAACCAGTTTTTGGCTGAGAAATGACCGTTTTCATTCATTGTGACTGAAAATATTGAACACTACCATTTTCAGCCACTAGATGGCAGCAGAGTAGTATAACATGCCATTGTATCATACAATAGGTAAAAGTGGCTATTAATGACACAATCAGCTTGCCAAAGAGCCACCATCGTCTGCCTGGAGCAACTGAATCAGCTTCATTTCACTGCCGCCCCGGCGAAATACAGCTGATTTGACCGTCAAAGTACATTTGTTAAGAAAAAGTTCAACTGAGACACACCTTTACTACAGTATAAAGTCGAGCTAACAAACAATTGTTTTTAATTGTTTATCTTGTTAAATTTTGAAGAAATGCACAGAGGTTTGTCCCTCGGTGTGTGCCTGCTTCCACAAATCAGGTTTTGAAATGCAACTGATTTGACCATCAAAGTGCATTTATTAAGCAAAAGTTAGACTGAGACACACCTTTATTATAATTTCCAGCAAACAAATAATTGTTTTTAAGTGTTAATCTTGTTAAATTCTTGTTAAAGTCCTCCCGTGCATGCTCCTGCTACCGCCATTTGGCAGCTAATTGATTTTTGGCATAACACCGACCCATATTTCCAGGTTGTCAGCGGTGACGTGTAACAAATGCAACGCATCAGCGATGACGCATAATAAATGCGCCGTATACGCCGAAGCAATATATTTATGGATTTTTCCACTTTATTAGACATATTTGGACTGATGTGACTTAAAGGGCGGTGTGATGTGTATGGCGGAAAATACGATACTGTCGAAAAACAGTCCTCACAAAGTAACATAAACAAGCATACACACTAACACACACACAGGTCATAGATACATCTATCCCCTTTGTTTTAGTTCAAAACTATAATTGTACTATTAGATATATAAAGGCATGAAATGTGCAGGTTTTAGTTCTCTTCTGAACATCTGCTGAGCAAACAATAATAATATTGGGCTTGATCTGTTTAGTTGCTCAAAAATCTTCATAAAACTTATATAATTTTTATTTTGATCATCTTCAAACACATTTAGCTCCAAATAATAATACCTTGTTAGAACAGAAATGAAAAAAAATGTGTGTTAATACGGTAGCCTAGTTAAGAGAATGTCAAGGTGTTTACATGTTTTCTTGCTATTTTTGGTAAACATGACATTTATGATTGTGGAACTCTAATGGTAAGTTTGTAGAATAAAATAAAAATAAGAAGTTTACCCGGTACCATCCAGACAGTCCAGAAGAGTTGCTGATGCATCATTGAACAGAGTTGCACGATGATGTAATGTTTGTTTAGTATGACTCTCAGATATACCCTGCAAAACTTTAAATCCAACTTATAGTCATATTTGTTTATGCTTAGGTTGTTTAGGTGCGGCTACCATCTTCATTTGAAATGATTTTGAAATGTAGTTAGAAAATACATCCAGATATTATATCCTGAAAATTTAATTACAATCCTTCCAGCAGTTCTTGAGATATTTTGCTAACAAACAGACAGAGTTGACTCTTACTTATTAATGACAACATTTTAAACAAAGATTTGGCACAATCTGTTACCACTCCTCATATTTGGGCTCAGTAACATGGACTGAGTTCAAGCTATTTTAATGTTTTTAAAGCTCTGTCGGCTGCCATCTTGATTTATGTTGACGCCAAGAGATGCATTCTGAGTGATTCATTTCTGCCAGCTTCATAAACTCTATAGTCCAAGAGGTATTTTGCTAACAAAGACAACAGCAAAC